GGAAAAAAAAAAAAAAAAAAAAAAAAAGATCAATGGAGTAGAATAGGGAATCAACCATAGTTCCTATACAGAACTTAACGTCAAGGAAGACATGTGACTTAATAAAAGTGAATAATATATGTAATAAGTGACATTAGCTTAGTTTTCTATTCACCTGAGCAAAGCAAGGTAGGAATATGCTTCTCAATATATATTCAAAAATAAATTACAGGATATCCCTGGTATCTGTCCATAAGAGAATGTATAAACAATAAATTCAGCAATAAATTTCTGCTGTCCACACATAGGTAATTTAAATATAATGTTAAGTGAAAACAAGAAGACACAAAAAAGAATATCCTATATGATTCCACTCATATGAGGTTCTAGAATATAAAGTTCAAAATAAACCTATGGTCGAAATATTAGAATCTTCTGTTATGTGGGGGTGACCCTTGACTGGGACAGGTCATGAGCGAGTTTCCTGGGATGAAGGATGCATTTCCTATCTTGTTGGGAGTGTGGCTATGTGCATTTGTTGAAATTCTAACTTTACTCTTAAGACTTGTGTATTCTATTGTATGCCAAATTTTTCAAATGAAAAATAACCATAAAGCTTTGACTCCAGTCAAAGATATGCTTAAAATTTTAAAAAATAGAATGTTAGGAAAAAATAAGTAAATTTCAGGTGCAGCAAATATTTAAATATCAAACAACCTCCCCCAATAAAAAGTACAGAAATCTTTAATAAGCACTATATCACATTTTAGGGAAGAGTACTTTTGTAACAAACTAGGAATCCTAAAAAGATGTAAAGGAAAAGATAGGCTACCTGAAAATTAACCACTATGTAAACTAAAGGATAGCATAAACAGTCAAGAGAACAAAATATCGGGAAACTAAATACACCTCATACAACATATAAAGGGTTAATATCCCTAACAAAGATCAATAAACAACCCCAAAGAGAAACTAAATATACACATGTATGGACAACAGAAAAAAAAAACTATGAATCTCAGTAACCATGTGAAAAGGCATTAATATATCTAACAGCATTTAAAAATACAAATTAAAAAAAAACGGGGTGCCTATTTTTCATCATTTGATTAGAAAATTTTAAAGATTGATCACCTTTAGCACCACTAAGGATATTGGAAGATGGGTAAATTCCTGGAGAAGTATGAATATTTACAAAGTTTTGGAGACTCATTCTGTCAGTAAGAATGTTCAAGAGATACACAAGAATGTAGAGAAATGGGTATAGTGTAATCCCAGTTTTATAGAAAAAAATGTTTTCAGGGTTTTGAACAAAGAGAAAAATATGAAGGGAAACATAACTCTTGAAAATGATACTTCTAACTATTGAAAATGTAGTATACCAGGGCTTGATAAATTTTGGGCCAAGCAACAAATCTGCTGATCACATTTTTATAGTGCATGAGTTCAGAATGATGTATGCATCCTTTTAAAGGATCATACTGTAGATGGTTATGTAATTATCTGCATAATATTCTTTATTTTGCTTTTTGGCCAGGAAAGGCTAAAATATTTACCAAATAGTTTTTTTTAAGAAAGAGCTTACTGAATTTACCTCAGGGGAATTATAATTTATTAGTTTTTCTTTTCCTTTTACTTCTCCATATTAAACTTTTTTTCATAACACACTTTTGAAATTTAAAGAAAACAGCTAGGTAGGCAGGGAGATAGGATGACTAATCACTTTGAATGCTCTTGGAAATGGAAACCAGAGACACTAAGTAAGAATCCTGTCACAATCTAGGCAAAAAGAAAAGGGGCCTTGGAATGGAATAGTGGTAGCTGAGAGAGGGAAAAAGGGATATGTTTTATAGGACCCTATAGGAAATGGTGAAAAATTGGACATGGATGATGGGGTCCAAGTATAACTCAGACGACTACTTGGCTCCAGTCAGTTAAATGGGGCCAACTACTGAGATAAGAGGCCTGGGAAGGGATGCTGGAGAGTAAATCCAGTGTTCTATTTGAACTTGCTAAGATTCTACATGGAACTGTGTGAAAGAGACAGTTGGGTATAGATGATTACAGTTGCTCATGATGTGGACAGGGAGGCTGAACAAGAAATGCAAATTTAAAGGTACTTGTCATAAATGGGATACTTAAAGCTATCTGGAAGTGACACAGAGGGAAAAGGGAAAGAGATCATGAGTCTACCTTGTGACATGGTGCCCTACCAACTAGAGACTGAAAACCTGAAGCATGCCTTCAGCCTACTTCTTGAAGACCACTGTCTACCTATCTGGATTGTCTAAAATTGTTAGTGCCAAAATTTCTCTTCTCACTGGCCGTGATACACCATGACTTCCGAGTAGCCACCGGCACTTCCTCACAGCTTAAAGAGATCATGAGTCTACCTTGTGACATGGTGCCCTACCAACTAGAGACTGAAAACCTGAAGCATGCCTTCAGCCTACTTCTTGAAGACCACTGTCTACCTATCTGGATTGTCTAAAATTGTTAGTGCCAAAATTTCTCTTCTCACTGGCCGTGATACACCATGACTTCCGAGTAGCCACCGGCACTTCCTCACAGCTTATATGCAAGTGGTTTTCTGGACAATCATTTACTATTGTTTGTCCTCCCAGCATCTGGCTCCCCCAGTGGGGAGATCAGTTCAGGTCCCAGTCCTGTCCAGTATGCCCTGCCACAGGTCCCCAGTGACAGGCAATCACCTTTTACTCATGCCTTAATTTCCCTGAGAATGCCAGGAAAGACTCACCAAGGAGCTCGTGTAGGTGGGATCTGAGGTGTCATCCTGGAGGTAGCGGGAGAGGCCAAAGTCAGACACCTTGCACACCAGGTTACTGTTGACCAGAATGTTCCTTGCAGCCAGGTCCCGGTGAACATAATTCATCTCGGACAGATACTTCATGCCTGCAGCGATGCCCCTGAGCATACCCACCAGCTGGATCACTGTGAACTGCCCGTCATTTTGCTGTGATAAGACATAAAGGGCATCAGGATCAAGATGGGCTCCAGTGGTCCCAAAGAAGCCAACATGCCTTGACCTGCTGCTTGTTAGCCTGTCAGTGCCAGGCATGCAGCTCACTGCAGACACTTCCTCCCCTTCTCCATCCTCGTCTTCCCTTGAAGGCTCCACTCTCTTCTTGCCAAGCCCTGTTGATTTCCTCTCCAAATTACATCTCAAACTCATCCACTTCTCTCCCTCTTCACTGCCACCACCAACTAAGTCTTCGTCATTCATCACCTGTAATAGCCTCCGGCACCTTCCCCCTTACAATCCATTCTCTCCATGGCAGCCAGAGCCATCTTTTTAAGACATAAATCAGGTCTTGTCATTCTCTGGTTTAAACTCTCTAATAGCCTCCCATTGCATTAAAGAAAACCTCCAAACTTCACTGCACAGCTAGGAGACCCCATAGGACAAACTGCCTTCTCCCCTTAGGACATTGGACCTCTTGGCCCCATGCTAAATGAAGTCAAAGTGACTGGCAACATTTCAGTTCTTCCCAGGCCAGGCTCTTCGTGCCATAGGACCTTTATATATGCCACTCCCTCTGTTTCCCTCCCCACAATCCATACTTACTTGCCCTTCAGATTTCTCTTAAATGTCTCTTCCTCATAGGACATCCTTGTAACTATCCCTCCAGCAAATGTAATTAGCACTCTCTGACTGCTATCATTTAGTGCATGCTTTTACTATTCTTAGCACATATGACAAGTTTTAATCTTTATGTGTGTGTGTGTGTGTGTGTGTGTGCATGTGTGTGTCTGCCTATCTTTTCTACATTAAGCTCTCTGAAGACAAAAATTCCACTGGTGTGGTCATCTCAACATTATCAGAGCTGGAAATTTTAACAAAAAAGGAGTAAAACTCTCAATAATATAACTTGAATGAATGATTGTTACATCTCTTCCCATTTCCAAAATTAAAGATTGAAGAAAAGGGTAAAATCCTCAATAAAAATAACTCAAATGAATGACTGATACATCTCTTCCTGTTTCCAAAAGTAAATGTTGAAGCCACCTTCCTTGGGTAGTTTCAAGGCTGTCATCCTTTCCATCAGGATAACCACACCTATCTCATAGAGACCAGGGCCATGGAAACTCACAAACAGGGTCTGGCACATGGGACTCTGCTAGCAAGTGAGAGCTGCTGATGCTCCTCCTCACACCAGCCTGCAGTGCTGCCTACTCCCCAGTAGATTCACAGTGTCTTGTGTAGATGCCCCACACCCAGTTGGACAGACTGTTCAACACATAAATCCAGGCCTTCCTCCTGCCACCACAAACCTCTTGGGTCTTGGCTCTGCACAAAGCAGTTAAATGCGTAGACCCTGGGTCATACTGTCAAGAACATATTTTCCCATTTAGCCCAACTCTAGCGGCTTCCCAAAGAGCCATGTATTGTGTTCCCCAACTAGAGCACAGTCCAGACACTGGAATGAGCCAATGAAAGAAGTCAGGATGCCTCAGGTACAGTCAGCTACTGCTGAACATAGGCACTGGGCAAGCCAGCCACGCCCTCTGTTGCAGTGTCTTCATGTGAAAGACAGGAAGCCTAACAGTGGGAGGCCCTCCCATTCATGAAGCACCTAATGATGTGAGATGTTACACAAGGAATTCATATATGTTATCTCAATATAAGTAAGTGCAGGCACGTCATTTATACACATGGTTATACAAAATGTTTCTATGCACAAAATAAGGAGAAATCATAAAAGACATTATAAACAATACCCTGTTTATTAGAGCAAAGACTAAAAGTAAAGAAGCCTGACAATGAAAGCATAAATTGTTGACTCTGTTCCTCATACAAGATTGCAACCTGGATCCAACTTTTGGGGGGCCATGTCTCGGATCAGCTGAAGGAGTGAAGGATACTTCCTCCATGTTCTGCAGTCCCTGCCAGAGGGATAGCCCCCAAATATGCAGAGTTTGACCCACTCCATACACCAGGCTGCTTCTACCTCAAATCTTAACCACTGCTCAACCCATCCAGAATGTGTCTTCTGTAATGGTTCTTCCAACCAGCTCCAAAAGCAAGTGCAGAACTGTTTTTGGAAACTGCCTGGTTTTCAGCACATGTTGCCCATCTGTGAAAGCTGGATGTGCAGCGAGTGATGTGAATTCTCTTTCTCAATAATGAACTTCAATCAACACCTTCTCAAGAAGTTAGCCAGGCTCTTGCTAGCACCCTGTGTTTCTCCAAGTAGGTCTCTGGGGATTTGCCCCCTCCAAAAGTTGTCACTGAACTTCTGCAGATTGCAAAAAATATCTCAAAAATATCTCAGCTACAAGTCTCATGGGTTGTGTTTTTTCAATTCAGCTTATTTCCTCTTTGTAAGTGTCCGTGACAGTGTGGTTAAAAATGAATGTCTCCCTAAAGAAGATGACATTTTGGGGAGGGCGCTGGTAGTTCCTATAAACAATTTTTCAAAGAGCAATGTTGAAAGCACATGGTGTAATGTGTATATATTTTTCCACAGTCATTGAAGTCTTCCTAGGCCTCTTTTATTATCTTTTTGTTTTATAATTCAGTTTCTAGGGTCAACGGAGTTAAGAAGTGCTTAAAATTCTGGGCTCTGGAGTCAGACAGGCCCAGTTGGAGCCATGCTCTAACAGACACAGGCTTCATGAGCCTGAGCAGGTTATGTAACCTCTAGAAAAGAGATTTCCACATCTGTAACCTCATGTCCAGTCTTCATAGGGTTTTGATGAGGTCAAGTGTGAAAAGCCTCACCGAGAGCCTATGGATACTAAGATGACAATGACTACTCTACTATCAGCAAGGCCACAGTGTCCTCCAAGGCAGCTTTTTCCTGCACCTCAAATATACAGGGTGAGAGGAACTGAGGATACCTGGGACCAGAGCTTTGGATTATTCAAGGCTTCCATAGTGTGATGGAAGAAGTCCTAGAACCATCAGCCTTGGAGAATCTAGTTTACAGTACATTACAAGCTCAACAGGTAACAGGCTGCCATCTGTAACAGCCTGCTCACCCAGTCAACTGTGGTAGTAGATGATCAAGACTTAATGATACAGGCCTGAAGTTGGGTCAATTAATTAACAAACACTGATTTCTTCCATTACTTGATTTCTGAATGGCAAGTAGTACTTGACAGAGTGTTTTGAGCCTTAAAACTGGTTTTCTGCAAAAGGCAAGGTAGGGAATATTATATATAGACAAGATAATGGAAGCCCAGAAAGTTTAAGTGATCAGTTTTTAAGTCACTCTGCATGATTTTGAATTATAATATGAATATAAATCCAGAATGGCAAATGGCTTCTCCACTGACATCTCATCTTGGACTAACTGATAATGGCTGTCTCAAAAGCTATGTGGAGAACAACACTGTATAATAAGCATTGCAGGAAAAAGGGGCTCCACTGATTAGTTATGCTAGTCACTTATCTGGTCTTCTAACTCTTGTCACTACCTTGTCCACTGGGATACATGGACTTTGCAATGGGACTGTGCAGCACATTTTCCTTAGGGTCTTCAGGAGAACTGTAAATCACCACAGAGACGATCCTGTCTGTTGGATTCTTAATCTTGGTGAAACCTAATGATATAAACATATTGAGATTTTCTAACAGGTTCGGCCACTTTTTATGCTCAATTCATCAGAATAACTCTCCAAGCAGAATTTCTGCAGATACGAACAGCCACGTACAAAGTAAGGAAGACAGAAAAATACCAACAATGAAGATTCTTCAGTGACTTTGGGAAAAATCTGGCTGTGTGCTGAGCACCTGGTAACAACAGCACAGAGGAGAAACACAGTCCTGGGTGAAGTGATTTAAACTTTCTTCCCTTCATGAAGTGCTTTCTGCTGAAATTGCTTTTCTGCAAATGCACTGAAGCCACTTGCTGGCCCTTATATTAGACAGGAAGGATTTAGGTATTTCAACTTTCATTGACAAATCCACTTCAGGAAATGAAACTCTTATTTGATTTGTGTGAAGAGAATGAATCATAGATTTTTTTTTTAAACTGAAAGAGAACTTTCAAGCTCATCCAGTTCAATGCCTTTAGTTTATAGATTGGAAAATTGAGTTAACAGACTTGTGCCAGGCCACAAGGTGATGCATAGCAGAACTTAAGGAAGCACATTGGTCTTAGGGCTTCTAATCTGGTATTCTCCACAGAACATCTGGGCTTCTGTCTTCTAGTTTCAGCCCATGAATGATCTTCCCTGATGAGAATGATCCTATCTGATATCATTCAGTGATTTCTAAGACTCTTCCAGTTATGATCATCTGTGAATGAACCAGTAGCAACAATAAGGTTGTATTTTAGGAAAGAAGGCTTTATGGAACCTGTCAGCCTCCGTAGCTAAGGCACAAGACATTGATCAGGACCTTGGGAATTATCCCCCAAATCAGGAAGACGTCCCATATTGAACCCCTTGGGTTTGAGTGCCAAGAAGAAATAATTATGGATGTGTATGCTATGCACCCATGGCTCAGTCACTGAAAACAAGAAAAAAAAAAAACTTATGAACTAGCTACTATGTGCGTGTTTAAAGAGTAAGTATTTTCAGTCCTTCTGGCATGTGAGGAGTTCTAAATCCCGAAAAGAGAGAGGAATGGTGAGAATCTATGTCTGATGTACTGACTGTATTCCTGATGCCCTGACATGGCTAGAGCTGTGGCCAGTCTTCAAAGTTCCTATGTTCAGGAGTTGGAGGAGAGGAAATAGATGCATAAACTGAGAACTCACCCCCTTCCTTTCTCTTCTGAATGGTGATCCTAAAATTATCCTCCTTCCCAGAAGAAGGACCCTGTAGAACTGAACCGGTGACCTATTTTTTCAATTTTATCAAGCAGCAGATACATCAATTAATGTTGCTATGCTCCAGGGTTTGGTGGTAAGGCTGAAATTAGATTTATAGATTACCTGCCTCCATGTGGTGTGAGCAGTCAGAAACGCTTCATTTCCCCTCTGCTCCTGCTATTGCTTGCTCTTGCCTCCCCCTTCTTGTCATGTCCTCACCCCTGTTTTTCTGGGCTCCTCTATGGCCCCTAAGTTTTCTCCCGCTGCACACCTGACCTCATCATGAAAAACACTGCTGCCCAAAGTGCCTCTGTGTCCTGGGCCCTAGGTGGAAACAGGCCCTGGAAGGAGCTGAGGTATGTGATTTAAATTTTTTGCAGGCTCCAGAGAGAATGATTCTCCCTGTCCCCTGCATGTTCCAGGGTGGGAGTCTAATCACAGTCCCTGAATCATGCAGTGACTTTCTCTGAAGTACAGTCATGTGACTGGCACGAAATAAATGACTCTGAAAAAGGTCTTAAGGCAAGTCCAGAAAATACTGTTTCTTCTAATACCACCTTCTATTCACATTTATCTGATTGTTCTGTGAGATCTTTGATCACAAATGGAGGCTCCCAGAAAAACATGGACCATGCCTTGCTGTGATGTCACTACAAGACTTAGATATCATGTACACATGGACCACGAGACCTCTCCTGCCACTCCCTCACATTTTGTTTCAGGAATAACTGCATGATTTTCATTCAGCCAGCATTTACTAGGAGCTCATTATGCTACGTACTCAGATTTATAAATAAAAGTCTTAATACCCTCAAGCAGGCTGCACTAGACAAAGTACCTGGGCTATCTATTCTGGATCAGTTGTCCGCCATCCCTTTTCCCCAAAACTAAAGCCATTACTGCCTAATATCCCGGACTAGACAACAAATATGAGCTACCCTGGAAAGGTAGCTTCAGTGGTGGCAAATGCAGCTTCTAGCTGAGTCTTCTAGCTTCCCTTCCACGCTGCAGCCCCTAAGCTTTGTTTCTGTGCCCTGGAGGCTCCACACAGCTGTTGGTAGGTTGCCAAATAGGCTGTGCTTTGGCTACTTCTACTTTTGGCTGCACTATTCCATGATTCCATCAGCTTGCCCACATGCTTCGCTACCTATCAGGCAAATTTCTCATCCTCCAGCATTAGAGAAATTGTCCCACTTGTTTGACTCCTTCCTTGGTTTCCCAGGAAGTTTAAGTCCTTCCTTCTGATTTCTCTGTACTCCACTTATGAAGACAAAACATAGCCTAGGCAGATGATAGCTAGAAGCTTTGAGCACTCAGGTCCTCGGGCCAGGGGCTAATCCATGACAGGTTGTATTCTGTGAGATAGACATAATAAGATCTTCTGTCTCTCAAATATGAGAAGATACAAGGTTGCTGTCTCCCTGTCAAAACATGGGGAATGTTTTGAATCTGGGCATACCTGTCCCTGCAGTAGGAATTATATCACATGACCTCTAAAGTTAGGTCACAAAGGCAAATCAGCTCTCACCTTATTCTCTTGGGTTGCTTGTTCTTAAGACTCAGCTTAATCTAAGGAAGCCCAAGAAGAACACATGAAATGTGCTACCTGATATCACAAGTGAATGAGCCTTCAGATAAATCTGAGCCTCAGCACTTAAGCTGCTCCAGCTGACTCCACAAGAAACAGAGATGCAGTCCTCCCCGAAATCCCTGCCTCACATGCAGGTTTATGAACAAAACAAATTGTCATTGTTGTGCTAAGCCACTAAAGTCTTGGGGTGATTTGTTACACAGCATTATAGTAACGTTTCCGCTTCTAACACTGGTCTCGCCAGAGCAGTCAACCCATTAATGTTTGAAATGACTGAGAAAGGAAGGGCCATTTGATAGCAGCCACAGTTATTGCTTGATAGCCCTGGTGATGTGTGGAGCCGGCTCCTGAGTATTTCCCTGAAGTCCACCCAGTATTTCCCAGAAGGTTCCACCATTTCTTGGGTGCCACTCCTGGACCCTCTGCTCTCAGGCTCCCAGCTGTTTGTTCCCTTTGAGCCTCTTGGTCTAAGGCTCATCCTGCACTCCAGCAATTCTCAGCTTCCACTCCCCAGGCACCAGCACCTTGGCCATTCTCTGTCACTCCTCTAGGTGGCTCTGTGATATCCCAGGGAAACAAAACTGGCTCAATCGTGAGCCTGGCCTCACTCAGGCATGTTCTAATAAGGATTTCTTACAGGTCTTCCGACCAGAAGGCATTTCACCACCTCCTACTTCTGCGGCAGGTTGGGTGAGAGCCACAATTTTTCATCATTGTATGGAAAAACTTCTGAGAAGTCTTCCCTTTCCCTGCCCACAAACGCCTCCTTAGAGGGAAAGTGGCCCAGGAGCCAGAAAAGGGCAACTTATTTCATCTCTGAACTGCCAATGAAGAGAGCTGGCCAGAAGGGCAGCTGTACTGGAGAAAGGCAGAAGCAAGCACCGGCATCTGCATGAATCAGGCAAAGCTGTGAAGTCATCTAGAATCTCTTCAATCTCTGTGATTCATGCACATGCCAATGACCATTATTTGTCCTGCTCATTTTATTCACCCAGCAGCATTCATTGAGCTCTCCTCTATGCCACCGTTTCTGGGAATCTACAAGCTCATCTTTGTTTCCTCTTTATAGCAACAAATCTATGCTATTGTTAATGTCTCCAACATCCACTTGCATTTGACCAGTGGATTCTTGAATGGCACATTATCCTCGCAGATCACTTCTCCCCAGCCACCACTGTCCTGTATCCAACAGTGTCAGATTGCATCCTACATGCCCCCACAGTTGCTCTTACCCTGAGGAAAGAATCCAAAGCACCATTCTCCATGAACTCTGTGATGATCATGACCGGCCGACTCTTGGTGACAACACCCTCCAAGCGAATAATGTTGGGATGATCAAACTGGCCCATGATGCTTGCCTCACTCAGAAAATCCCGACGCTGCTTCTCTGAGTACCCAGCCTTCAGGGTCTTGATGGCCACATAGATTTCCCTCTTGCCTGGCAGTTTCAAACGCCCCTTGTATACCTCTCCAAACTCTCCTGCAACCGCAAGAATGAAATTAGTATCCTCTTCCTTCTCAATCTGTGGAACCACAAGGGGAAGCATCTTATCAGGAACAGTGGTGCTCAAGGTGGAATTGTGATTAAAGTGACAGAAATTGAAATGGTGTTCTGTCATTGTAAGCTGGATGTCTTGGCTCTAATCAGCTCATGCAAAACACAAAAGGAATACTAAAATGCACTCCTTACGTCAGTGCTAAGAAATAGTTTAGTATCTAAGAAGAATTTCTGAATAGTTATGAGTTTGTTTTTTCCACATTTAATTTTTCATATGTGCCCCAGTGGAACAATTAAAATTAAATGGTCAGTTTCACTTTAGCAGAATCACAATCCATTTTAGCAGAGCCTGATGGAAGACTGTCCAGGGGATGGGGCATATGTTTGGGTACTTTAGCCCTCTGAACAAGATGTACATTATTTATGTTCCTACATTGTTATAAAGGTGCTTATGTCTCTTGGGTTCTCCAGAGAGCAGACAGACTCCAATAAGTTAGGAAAAGAAGAGGATTGTCGGGGAGCTATGAGAGGGAAAGGAAGCAGGACTAGGCAGGGAGAGGCTCTGATCACAGTGAAGATGTGAGCCACGCAGACTTGACCGTCTCAGCCCACCTAACTTGGATCTCCAAGGCAAAGAGCTCCTGTTCCTGAAACAACCAAGACCTAACACTGCTGCCATGTCCTAACCCTGATGCCAGACCCAGCATCTGACAGGGGCTGCCTGGAAGAGCTGGACATCTGTAGAAAAGCTGAAGGAGACCCCAGCGATGCTGCACCTGGAGGCCACTGACTAACTGCATTCCTGGCAGCTGAAAAGCAAGTTATTTCTCCAAGTGGGTGCAAGCTGCACGCTTCCATGGCTGCTGCAGAATTTAAACACTTTTGCAGTAAAATCACCAAGAGAGAGAAAAAAAAAAAAAAACAATTCCGATGACACTCTTTCATAGTTGCTTTAAAAAGTCTGTTGAATCCTGCTTAATGTGCTTTCAAAAGTTATTTCATGATTTCACTCAGTTTTGCAACTTCCAGTTCTTTCATGTGAAGCAGTTAAATATCTACTTGCAAGTGCATCGCTGAAATGTGTGTCAAAGGCCTGTCAGGAGGAAGAGGGTTTTCTGCTGGGAAAACTTTCTTTTTCACTTTCAGCTTCTGGAAGCAAATGATGGAGCAAGCTGTGAGCAATCAGAGACATTACTGGTCACATGAGAAAGGCAAGTGAACACTGCCTCTGTGAATTAGTTGGGAGTTCCTTTTGTTTTCTACTGCAGAAAAGACTGGAAGAAAGCTGCACAAAAGGACTTTATGCAAAATTGCCCCAGAGTCTACTGAACGTGACAGAACACGAGTTGGAGGAGAGGCTGGCTTAAGTACCATTAGGAAGATTTCAAAGTAGACCTAATACTAAGACAGATATCATTTTCATCATTAGTTTTGACACTGAATCATATGCTGCTTTGGAGAATTGCTTGAGGTCAGACAGAGACTCTTCCACATTCATAATTTCCACCAGAGCGCCTGTTACACGGCAGGCATGTCAATGAAAGATGGGAGTATCATATGCATTATTATTTATTTGGCTTTTGCCTTGTCCATTCTTGGGCTATAAATCACTGAGTCTTTGTCACTGCTTTATCCACCGTAAGTTGAATGTGGTATGTAAAAGAATATCCATAGGAGCAGTACCTTCTATAGACAGACACTGAACGACTGTACCAGGGAATGGGTGGGAAGCAGTACCCCCACTACTGAAGCTAAAAGACAGCTGAAAGGTACTGACTCAAAATATATGTACATTCTATTTTGAAGTGGAGAAAAAAAGGAAGTTATGGAATCTGACATGAAGCACGTGCCCATATGGAATGTGCATGTGTGTACGCAACAGAAAAATTATGAAAACTCCAAATCAAACTTATTTTTCAATTCAAATTATTTTTAAAAATGGTGACACTAGAAGGGTGGAAATGGGAGTGAGAAGTAGAGATTAGTAAACTCAGTTTAGTTATTCTCATTTTGTTACAGTTGCCAAGACAAGCCTTACTTTGGTAGTTAAAAATGCATAGCATTTAAGAAAAAGTAGAGCAAGAGGGACCTGCCAGAGGAGGTATGTCTGCATGTGGGTATGTATGTCTATGTACAAGTGTGTGCATATGTGTGTATGTCTTCTGTACCCATGTGCAGATGTGTCTGCATGGCCTCTGTTGATAACTGTGACTGGGTGAGTACAAACTACACGCTGGATAAGTATGTTAGTTAAATAATATTGGTTAGTGTCTCTTCCTTATTGCCATAATGAGTTCTATTTTCTTTTAGGAACAAGGTACACTGTAGTTGAGAGACAAGGGAAAGGTATATTAATATTTCTTCTTGGAGGCGATGGCACACAAACATTTACTTACTGACCACCTACTATGTGCTAGGCACTTTGTATGCTTTATCTCATCCAATCCCCACCTTCCTCTTACAACTTGAGCATTATTATGCCCCCTTTACCAATAAGGACATTAATAAGGACAGCACACCCCCAAATACACAGCTATGAAGCAGAGACAAGGCTGTCCCAGGACCATCTCCTTTCCTGCCTTCTAACTCTGGATAGGAAGTTTCAATCCAGAAACTACCAGACCCCAACTGTGTAGGTCCACACAGTTCCTACACAGTGACTAATCGCAGTGACTCAGTATCCAAGGAAGAGCAGAGCAGAAGAGGGACTAGTTCACAGACAGGTGTTATCCATCTAAAGGTTCTGTCTGGGAGTCAAGGAGAATCAAAATATTTAGGCATCAGATATATTTGTGCACTTCAGTGTACAGAGTTTGGAAAATAATCCAGATGAATACTTCCCCCCCCACACAACATATACAAACACCCAAAGTTTACAGCCCCTGCACTCACTGGAGGAGTCTTATGGAATAAACTGGCCTGGGTCTCCCTAGGAGATTCTGATTAACTGGTCTGAGTGCAGCCTGGGCATTGACAAATTCAAAAGCTGCGCACAGGATTGGCTACATAATTTCCAGTGCCTGATGCAAAATGAAAACGAAGAATTCCTTGTTCAAAATTATGAGACAGCAGAACATTAAACTAAGCATCGGTCTTTCTAAATATGAGGGCCTTGCAATCACAGTGGTCACAGGCACAGGAAGCCAGGCTGAGGTGCAGTAAGGCTGAGAACTTTGCAATCGAAGTGTCACCCAAGCATATATCAAATGGATTTTGTAAAGTGTTTTATAAACTGCCTAAGACACCTGAGTACTGGAACTGTCTCTGAATACTTTTGAAAGTAGAGCCTGAATACTGCTGTCCACATGGTACAGGGCTTGGGACAGCATGGGTCCCATTGATGCGAGGGGAGAAAAAGAAAAAAGAACCCAGGGAATAAATGAAGATGTGGCTGCGAAAGTGCTACCTCCACAGTACACTGTAGATCAAATTACTTTTCTAATTGGTAGATGTTATTCATCATTTGATCTCTGTGGCTGACTGGTTCTCAAATGTGGCTCTTCTAGTACTTTAGCTTTATATATCCTCTGTGGGATATATAAATTACGATCTTTAAAAATTACACAATAAAAGCATGCTCTCCTTGGCTAGGGTGAGGTGGGTTTTGTCTTCCGTGACTTCAGTGGTCATAGTGTCACTGCTCTCAAAAATCTGATCCACAGTGATGGTGCCATAAAGAATGGTGAATGTGTAAAATTAGCTCATTTCTTGTCCAGCAAAGAAAAGACCCCATATTCTCTGTGTCAGGAGGTTTGCAAAGTAGCAGCAGCAAAGGAGCCACTTAATGCCTCATTGGGAGGCTGTGTTCCCTGGTGCACAGGGACCCTTCAGTGCAGCTGGGAGGGAAACTCAAGAAGTGAGTAGAAGAGGAGGCCCTCTGCCTGCCCCAAACCACACCTGAGTCAGTTGATCTCAGCTGGGCTTTTTATTTCTCCATTCTTGGCTTTCTCATCATTAGATATACAAAAAAAAGAAATGATAAATTCTCTCGTTTTCCAAACGGTACTGAGAGGAGTGCATGAGATAGTGTTTTGTAAATGACGAACTGATTTAAATCATGCATGGGTGGTGATTTTAAAAAGACAAAAGAGAGAGGTAGTGTGCAGTATGTGTAATGGAAGGGATAAGGGAAGGAAAGTAGGTTTCTGCAGCCACAAGACACTTAAAAGTGCCTTATCCAAGATACACTAGAGCCTTTGGCCAGAGGCAGTGGGGAAGACCCTGTGCCAGGTACCTGGGCACGGAAGGTACTCCAGGTAAATTTAGATGCTGAAGTCTGGGGTCTCTGATGTTTACTTCTCCACAGCCTCACGGGGAGGTGTGAGTCAATGGGCATATTGTCAATACTGATAAGAAACAGAACCAACAACTGCTATCACCTGTAATTTTTTACTTTAGGTTGGTATACTATCTTCAAGAAGCTATGTCTGCTTTTTGGAAATTTTACTGTTATTCACGCCAGAGCTTGAGATTTATGGTTCCTTGATTTGGTATAATCTAAACTTTAAAAAACTTTCCTTTCATATGAGCATTATACCATAGCCATATCTTCTTTCTTTTTTAAAATAAAAATACATAATATCTAAAAATAATTTCAACAAATCAAGCATTAACTTTATATTGAAAACAAGTGGTTATAAGAAATGATTTTGCTGGGTTGCAGTTGTGGTTGATTCGGTTCAAGGCAATTCTTACCGGCAGTAAATGCAGCCAGACTAATTTTGGTCTGGCTGGAATTTGGCAACTGATCCTGAGTCCTCTCCCATAAACAAAATGCATTTGGCTATGACCAGCTCCAGTATCACGTCAAGCCAGTGTGGGGGAACAATGGCACTCAGCAGTGGTTCTCAAAGTATGGTTCCTGCCCATCATCACCAGCTAGGAGCTTGTTAGAAAATGTAGGTTCCCGATCCCCTCCCTACCTGCTGGATCAGAGGCTTAGTAGGTACAGACCTGTGATCTGGGTTTTAATGCAGTATTTT